TGCAAGATTCTCCAAGCCGAACAGAAACCATGGAAACAGACCCACAAGCAAGGAATTGATGCATGAGATGCATTCAACTCTTGGATCTTTAAAAAAATTGTCCAGCTGTCGTCTGAAGCACTTGTGTCCTTTTATGTTCCCATCAGTAGTGTACAGGAGTTCCAGTTCCCTTCTATGCATGCTGTGTGCCAGACAGCGCAGCAAAGGACAAAATACATTTGGTGGCCACTGGCAGATGCATTGCCCTTATTTCTAAAAATATCAAACCCCAGAGCTCTAAGGCTTTAACAGTGGGATGCTGATGAGGGCCTCTGACTAACTGTGCCAGACTCCTCCTGCTGGGTTCCTACTCCTTTAGTTTCCTGTCACTGGGTTTAATTCCATCACCACCAGGCTGAGCTCAGAATTAGAGGCTCACGCTGGAAAACTAAGCAAGTGCCTGTCATATTCTTCCTTTGGTTGTCTGTGTAGGCGTGAACTAAATAATTAATTTTCACTAATCACAAGAAAACATCAAGTGGTTAATAGGCTAAAAGCTCATTAAATAAAAATAAGTTGTTTTAGAGATATAAGATCTAGTTGTTACTGTTAAAGGAATTTTGAAGGTCATGTTCCTGATGTAGCACAAAATCTGACTACCCAGGAGCTAATTCAGAATAAATTTCAAATTTAGAGTGATATAAAGGTCAGCATAGCAGAAAGACACAGTGACACTTTATGTTTATACACCTAATTACAGTTACAGGTTATGTAAAACACAAAGTGATAGAGCCAGAAGAGAAATTAAAACTTTTTATCACATTTTGAAAATGTAATCATACTTGATTGGTAATTGATGGAACAACCAGGTAACAAAACAACGGCAGCAAAAACAACAGAAAAGATGGAAATACCTAGAATAACACTGTTAGCTAACTTGACTAAAGCGGCATTCATAAAATTCTACTAAAAATCCTCAGACTTAACAGTCTTTCCAAATTCTCACAGAAAGCTCCCTGATTTGCATCATATTGGTCCTTAAAATGGTTTTAATCAAATTCAAAAGGCTAAAATTTTACAGGAATTGTCTGACCACACCAAAAATAACACGTTTACAATATCTGTATGTTCAAATGGGATGGGGATGTAGGGAGTGCAGAGGAGAAACAGAAAAAAGAAAAACAAGAAAAAAGAAAAAAAAAACAGAAATAAAGCTTTTGTAAACAAGGAGGGGAAGAAGGGTTGAAGGTAGAGGAGGAAATAGGAAAAAAAGAAGACTCAAGATACGTGATGTACAGGTACAAATTCTCTGTGATGTTGTCATTATGTATATGTAAATGTATCAATAAACAATTACTTTTTGTGAAAAATAACACGCTTAGAAAACCTCATCTTTCTAAAAACATACTTCCAAGTGACCTACAAGTCAAAGAATATAGCACAGGTGAAATTAGAAAATACTGGATTTAAACAATAATGAAAATATCAAAAATTTAACGAAGGAAGAAAGAAGCATTTAGAAGAGAAATTATCCTGCGTTAAAAAAGAGAAATTGTTAAAGACAGTGATGTCTTTTCATTTTAAGAAATGAGAAAAAGAAAAAAACAAAAACCAGAAAAAGCAATTAATGCTGACATGGAAAGAAACAAAGACAACAATGAAAGTAGACAAAGTTAAATAAATCAAAGTTCACCCTTGTGTGTATGAAAAGACTGAAACAGAGACCTCAAAAGAGGCATCAAAAGAGATGTCCATTAATTAGCATCAGGAATAAACAATGGCTGTTTCCCACTGATTCTATAAATAAAGGAAGGTTAAGGAGAGGGTTATTCTTAAACATTTGGCCAATGCTGGTCATCAATAGGAATAGATAAGTTCTTTGAAAAACAAAATTTATCAAACCTGGCCAAACAAGGAAGATAAAGCCTTAAGAGCCTTAAATACACTTAATTTGTAATTCAAACTCTTCTTGCAAAATATTCCATGAAAATAAAAATCAACAATGACACGAATGTTACATCCAGGAATTTTCACAAGTGAATTCTATAAAACACTTAAGGAAGAAAGTATGTGACCTTACGTTATTAATGAATAAAGGCAAAGAGACCTGTACTGTCTTTACTCTGATTTCAAAAGTTGCCAAAGACTTTAAGAAAATTAATGTAATGATCTTCATAGACAAAGATGCAATAATTTGTAAAAAAAAATAGCAGATGAAACTTCACAACATATTAAAAGGTTTCTAGGTATCAGAAACACAAGATTGGTTTAATATTAGTTCTGTAACTCACCACATTAACAGAGCATTAATATCTCAATATTTCCAGTAAAAGCACTGGACAAAACCTGGCATACATTAATCATTAAAAATCCTAGCAATATATAAATTAAAGGTAATGTCTTCATGCTGAAACTCCACAGCTACCATTAAAGGGAACACAGAACTTTTCCTCTAGATTTTTGAAACAGCATAGATGTCAACATCCGCTCTAACCACTAAAGAAAGAGCTCACCTCAAACTGCACTTCACAGAAAACACAAACATTGATTTCAGCTGGATCATAATTTTTAGGAAAGCAGAAAAAGAAAGGCTATAGCTTACTCTCTAGATTTAATTCTGACAAAGCAATGCATTTCTTTGAGATATGCACATTAAATATGAATAGGTTGTCACGCCTCAGTAAAACCTCAACAAAATGATTAATTTTGTTAATGGAAAAAATGCTTAAATGAATGACTCAATTGTGATAACAGGGGATATAATATGCCCAGAAAATCATATTTTCAGTATCAAAAATTCGTTTTTTAAGTCTACTTTTGAAGAATAAAAATAGAGTGGGTGTGCCTAGTAACAGGAATATTTTTCTTTAAAATATGAGTGAATAGATAAGTAATTTAAAAAGTTCAAAATTGATTCAAAAATTAAAAAATTATATTAAATAACAACAACAAAACAATGAGCACCCTCCTTTAACAATATGCTACGAAACAAACAAACAAAAAAAGATATGGTGTTTCCACTTACTTGACCCTACAGTAAGCATCTAATTGTGTATGATGTACATGTACAATACACAGAAGTAGACTGCATGGCACTGATGATTTGATGAGTCTTTCCTGTTCTAACATTTAAGTAGGAAATCTATACTGACAGTTTTGTAAAAGTTACTGTGTTCATTTATATTTTTTGAGATCTTTACATATACTTCCTACTCTAAAAACACACAGAGACAATCTCTATCCTTGGAGGTTTTACACTGTTTGGGGATAGACAGACAGCAAATAATAAACATATTACATAATTTTTACAAGTCACATAATACCTCTGTATTTGCATAAATTAAAATCACAATTCTTAACATTTTCTTTCCAGGGACAACTAATAATTCATTGGTCATCATAAATTTGAAATAAACCCAAAATTAATTTAGTTACTTTATTAGTGAAATAACAGTGCCATTAACTATTCATGCATGCTTTTATCCCCATTTATGAAAGTTATAAATGTGCCCCATTTTTTTTATCTTTTCTGCCATGCTGCCTCTTATCCAGAGATACTCAATCTAGCATACATTGAGTGTCTACTTTGTGCCTGTCACTTTTCTTAAACTTCTATATTCATTCCTTCATTTCATCTTCCTGCTCACTCCAGGAGTATGGTTTATTATAAAATCTACTTCTCAGAGGAGTGAAAGCAATCATTTATACCAGTTTACACAACACAAATACAAATCCAAATTTATCATGATGTGTGTATTCACAGAATATTCACTTTGGGGGGGTTTATCTAGTTTTCACATATACAAGTACATATACAATATGAAAATAACCCTTCAATGCAGAAAACACAGTAGCAGTTTGTGTCTTTAAAACTCATTAATCTTAATAGACACAATTGATTTATAACTGGATATTAATACATCAAAAATAGAGGAATGGCTGCTTAACAATTTCCTTTTGCATACAATAAAATATGGTAAGTTTATTTTCTATGATCTAAATTGAGCTTTTTCCTTTCTATAATTTATAAATTATTCTATCATTTGTAAACTGATAAATTCCTTCCCAAATATCTGAAAGCAGGGTGCAAATCAGTTTTACTACCTTTCTCGTGCACTTCTGAGTTGTGCTGGGTGCCCCAGACTCTGATATCCTGTTAACACCTAGGAGACACTCTTGGGTCAAATGTGACCAGAAACCAGCAATCTGCTTTCCCCTCACTCCACTCCCTGTGCTGTATATTAGCAATGATCAGCCAAATAGGAGAGGCAGGGCCCCCTCTGAGCAATGTCTGATTGGTAATCAACGTATGGGTCGATACATAAAGATCTACAGAATGACAGTATCTTATTCACCAACCCTGCAACACATAAATACACCAAATGGGAAAGCTTTATCTTGAAATAAATGTTTAGGGAGAATGACCAGAGTTACAATTACATAAATTAGGGTTTTTTTCTTTTTGCCCCCTAACAAGTGACCCATTCCGATACCACGAAAAACTTTGTCAGTTATGAGGATATGTTTAAGTGTGCAAGATAGATAACCATACTGTTTTTGTTAATTTATAGTTTAGTACTGTCATTGTTTGTCTACTTTTTATGCTTTGATGTTGTAACTTGAACAACTACTTCTAAGATAACAATATGTAATTTATCAACTAGTGATTTCTTATTTTTTTTTTAATTCTACATTATTTCTACCCTTTTTCTGTTTTGCTTTCTTTCTCTAAATTAAAAAAATCTATCAGTGTTGTTGGAACAACTCCCCTTTGGCCAAATGTACACTATACATTTGCTTAATCTTTTATCCTACTAGGTTACATTTTTAAGATTGGTGTGCCCTGACCACTTGGCTTAAAAATTAAACCATACAATACTGAGGAATCAAAGGGTACAGAACACAGATTGTATAAATGCTATTATCAGAAACTTTGACCTCAATGTTTTTTTTTTCACAAACATTGCAGAAATATCCTTGTTAATCATCTAGCTTAAAATGCAGCTATGAAATAAACTTACCCTGGTTTTGTGTCATTCACTACACAGTGGTAGGTAAATGTTCCAAACATCTGAACTCCTAAAATCCCATAAAGAAGTAGAAAGAAAATCAGGAAAATTGAAACACTCCATATTTGTTCTCCCGATCGCCTAGGGTAGAAAAGTAGGTAAAATGAATAAAACTAACAACAACTGTTAGATATTTCCCCCTTTAACTTAAACAATAGGAGTGCTTACTTTAAAATATTTGTAATTCTGGTCCTTGGCAGTTCAAATCGGAAATAAATCCGGAATGCCCTGATCATAATTAATGGGCGTGGGATCCGTAACATGCCCCAAGGTGACATCTGATCAACTATGTCAGCAATTTCAAACACCTATAAATTAAGAGATAGGTAAACAAGTTTAGATTTCCCTTAGCACTGCTTCCAGTCATCGAATACACACAAGACACCTAACAGTGCACCTTGCATCCTGAATTTAGCCCTACATTATTTTCTGACAAAATTAATTTTGAGTATATTTCAAAACTGTAAACATCATGACACAAACACTCATGAGAGTGCCATTAATTGTATGCAATTCCTAGTCAATATATAAAGGCACACACTTCATTGTAGAAGCAAGTACTAACAGAATATAGAGTAAGTCTTCCTCACTAATAATGCCCTTTGGTGGAAGCTTTCTAGCTTATCTAGAAAGTAGTTATTGAGAAAGTGCTAAAATATTAAAAAATATTCCATTTACTAACAGAAACAAAGTAATAATTAGAAAATGTCTAACACAATAGTTATTACATGAGATAGTTATTTACATGGGCCAAATTAGTATGTGAGATCATTGGAGAGGTGTATTTTACATAAATAAAGAAGGACAACTTATCAATAAATGCTATCATGAGCTGGCAAGATGAACTGCAAAAGTATCTTAAATATTTAAGAAGGAATAGCTGAATAATCTCTACAGATCGGCTGTACATCTTGCTACTGGTAATCAATAATAATGTAGTATACAAGTAAAATTTTGTTTAAGAGGTGAAACTCATGTTGTGTTCCTACCAGAATGAAATCAAAACAAATAAAACCAAATTAAATAACAGATGCTACCAGCAATAATTAAAATATTACAATTAGATTTTCAATGAACAAATATTTAAAGGTAAACGTAGAAAATTATATGATTACATTTGATATACATTTTGAAGATATCTGTATTTAAATTTTCAAATGAAAATAATAACCACTCTGGAAAATAGCTCTTTGTGATTTAAAAATATTTACCTGTAACACCAAAGAAACCCAAAGACAAAAGACCATGAATCCATCAAAAACACACCAGCGATCTTTCACGTAGGAACTATCACCCTAAAAAATAAATTTCACATGGTATTATTAAGAAAAGTAACTACTACTTCGGCAAATCTCCTATGGATTGGACAGTCAAAGAGCTATTAAGTAAAAGTCATGAGAAATTTCTGTATCATAATAGAACAAAACCTTTTCTATGGAATTTTAAATGGTATTATTTTTAAGACAAATGATTCATGAAACAGGAGAAACTTTAGAACTTTGACCATAAAATTTTAAATTCATGCAAATCAAATTTGTTTGTTTGTTTTGTCAACCACCCAAATTCTATCCCTTAAGGAACAGAGATCGTTTTATACTACGGGACTTACATCTGCAATGTAGTATTTTATATGACCAGCATAATTTAGGATATTAATATACTTAGTTGCTTTAAATACTTAGATTTTTATAGGGCTATTCTGACCCTATACCAGCTCCACTTCTACAAGAACCAAAGGGCACAGTCAGCAACACGAGTCTTTCCAAACTGCTCCATCAGTCACTACTAGTAGGAAAATTAACCACAAATCCCCTTAAAGTTATGTAAAAAGTGAAGAAGAAATTTGTTGTAAGTTGCAAAGAAGATACATGTTGACTTTAATATTTGTACACATGTAAAACAAAGATGAAGATCTACTACTTCTTTTTTGATTTGTTTTATTTTGGTTTTTTGATACCTGGAATTGAACTCAGGACCTTGTACTTACCAGGAAGGCATTCTGCCACTGAGCTGTATCTCTGGCCCCTATCTCATTTTCTAAGCAGAGAATCTATACTGATGTGAGATGCATATTTTATTAAAGTGAAAATTATAGAAAATAATTTTCCTTTATAATAATAACATCATGAGGTTAGAATTGGCAACTTTAAACGGAAAGCCTTTAACTTTTACATGACTGTTTCAGCAAGCTGCTAGTTGATATTGTTCATGTTAGCTCAATTCTCAAGTTGGCTACAGGTAACATTACAAGTTGAACCTACTAAGAAAATAAAAATACTTCCACCTTTAATAACAAGTAGGTTATCATAAAAATTTCCTTGAAAAGTTTCCAAAAACAAATTATATTGTTCATAAAAAGGAAAAGATTATATGTATGTAGGTATACACATATAACTGTAAATACATAAGTGTGAGATAGATAACTATACTACTAATTCTCTGTAGTTTATCAAAAAGAACAGTTTGTGCTTTCATGGTTTGATTGTGTTATTTTTTAATGCAGAGATCTTGTAACCTGAACAACTATTTCTAAAATAGCAATATGCAATATACTAACTAGTGTCAATTTCTTTCTGTGTTTTGAAATTCTATATTATTTCTATCCTTTTTTTCTGTTTTGCTTTTTTAAAATAAAAAAATTAAATATTAAAATACTCAGTGAAAATTGTCTCAGATAAGTTTGTATCTAAGAGTCAGATATGAGACATAATCTCCACTTAATAACATGCTTTATAAAAGATGTATAATGAATGTCTAGAAAACACACATGCATACATACAGGCACACTCCCATACACACACAACCGCAACAATAACGGTGTAGAAAAATAGATTTCAACAAATCGGGAAATGCACAAGGCAGATAATTTATAGCAAGCTATAAACATCATGGGAAAATAGGCAGATACAGGCTATGGAGAATTTAGAGAAAATAGCATTAGTTCCAAAATAAATGTGTAAATAATTTTATCAGTGGTAAGACAATCAACTAAACCTAGTGACTCATGAGTTTGAGAAAACTCAGAAGAGTTATTTTGAAATCAAGTTCTAAGGCTTGGTTCTAGGTGATAGGACGACAATAAGCCTATTAAACTAACTATTGTGATCATGATCTAATTTATCCCCAGAGAAGAGAAAAACTGCTTTTTTGGGTGCGTGCACTTACTAAGTATAAAGCAAACAACTGAAGCACGTTAGAGTTGTCTTTGAAACCTCACAGAGCACCTTTTATAAGCATCATATTTACCTTATATGGTGCCATCATTTGAAAATGTAAGTTAAAGATGAGCCAAATAAACATAATGTAGCTAATATAAAAGGGGATTTTCCCTGAGGCTAATTTCAATTAATATCCAACCAGATAATGGGTTACAAAGTATTTGAAGTAGAGCTTTGGTATCAGGCACTGGACACCTCTATCTATCACTGGGGCAACATTCAAATCTAGTGGTTCAGGTACAGAAAAACAAACTTCTGCCTGCATGAAGTGTATGTTCTCAGTTAGTTACATGCATCAAGTTATTTGTTAATGAGTGTCAGGAAGAAAAATAAATGCATATTTTCAGACTGCCTGATATTAAATAACATGTGTCTTTTACTTGAGGTGGAAAGCAAAAAATATGACTTGATCTGCATTTTAAGAACTGGATATATTTATCACTGTTTAAAAAAAGGAAGGAATTCCAAAAATGAAAATTGAAATTTAATGGGACTCAGGAGAGGGCTATTTAAGAATCAAACCAGTTAATGAGCAAATGCTAAATAGAAAACAATGAATTATAGATCAGTGGGTACAGTACACCTAGACAGGATGAGTGCATTGGGTATTTTTCCAAAACAGTATTAGTAATTACTTTTAATCATTAAAAATGTTCTATGTAGAGACATGGTAACTAAACTTTCCTGCTTGAAACTTAAAGAATTAAATGAATTTAAAGAATTAAATGAATGAATGAATTTAAAGAATTAAATTTAAAGAATTAAATGAATGAATGAAAATAAGATACAGGACAAGAGCTTATCCTTATACTGAGGATTTTTAATGTGTAACATTAGTGAAGATAAACAGTGATATCTCCCTGACAGAACAGGGAGTAGCCAGGAGCCTGGAGTGAAAGAGACATTTTTCACAATGTGTCCTTATGTGTTTTTTGAGGAATGACTGAGGTAAATGTCTTAAAAAGATTTTCAGTAATGAAATGCTTAGTCAGTGAATATTTTAACCTTAACAAAAATTAATTCTTCATTTGGCAAAAATATCAAATTTAAACATTCAGTTCTCATAAATTGAAAATGTTAACAGATGTGGCCGAATTTTGCTTCACATGTCCTATGTAAATTTGTTTGCTACAGAAACTGATGGCCCACAGTCTATTTTGAACTACATAAAAAGATGGATTACTTTAAATATGTCCAAAAGCACTAGTGGTGGTCATAAAAGCATATAAACATACTATAATGTCAAAAGGCCCCACAGTGTAAGAACTGACATAGGAAAACTTGTATTATAGAACAGAATTTTGTTTGTTTTTTTATTGCTTCTTCAGTACAGGGAATTGAACCCAGGGAGTTTGCACTGAGCTACATCTCCAGCCCTGGTTTTAATTTTCATTTATCTATTTTTCATTTTGAGACAGGATCTTGCTAAGTCACTGAGTTTCCCAGGTTGGACTTAACTTTTAACTCTCTTGTCTCAGCCTCCCAGAGTGTTGGTAGTCCAGGTGTGTGCCACCATGACTAGCAAAGAGAGAAAACTGTGCTTTGAATTAATAAACAACGCTAGTTATGGAATGTTTACTTCAGCAGACTTTCCAAACACTACATCCCCTACCCCCAGTATGCCCACCACACATTATTAGATGGTATGCATTGGCCATCAGAACTGTCCACCTTCCCAATACCCTAAGGAAATAATCCCCTAGGGATATTTTTTAATCCCATTCTTATGGCCCGCGCTTCTAAGAGTCCTCCGGTGTTCAGGAAAACTTTTACTAAGCAGGGTTTTAGTGACCTGAGGATACAAAGATCAGTAACACCCAGTGTCTTCACATCCTTATTTCATTTTTAACCTTTTACTCTTATCAGTGTTTGTTCTTCATGCTCCTCTGTCTTCCTAAAAATTTCTCTCAAGTCTGGGCCAGTATTTTTCTCTCAATTCTAACTACTGTCTATACTAATCACCTAACTTATGTGTCCTGCAACACCCTACAATTTGTTCACATTGCTATTCATGGAATGGTCTTTCGCCCTTATGGATGGCTTCGTGTATTTGTATGTTGGTATCAGATCTTATGGTAATGTTTGGGTTCCCTACTTAAATCTTGCATTTTTACTCTTTTGTGTTACTTTTTAAGAAAAGAAGTCTATCAACTATCGTGTTTGAGTTGGTTCCAAAGTTAGTGATACCTTTGGATTTTAACCACGATAATTTAGGGCTGCAGTTCCAGTACCTGTCCCAGCAAGTGACATTCAGCATACATCAGATAATGATCAAATAAGCACACGGACACATGTCAGACAGAGGGCTTCTGTAGATTATGATGTACACAGCAAGACGCCAGTAGTATGGTTACTGACTGCGTCCACCCATCACAGGGCTGATATTGCTAATATCACTTCTACAAAGAAAAGCTTCCCCTTTGGAAAAGAGATAAAGTTGTAATAACTTTCAAATTAGTATCATAAAGTTAAGACTCCTCCTGCAGGATCATGAAAAACCACAGATTAAAATTAAGAGATGATTTTTGGATATTTCCTGGATTAATAGGGTTTAAATACGTGGAACTCAACATTGCATAAAAATGGGCTCTAAGAGGGTCATGATTTGTATAATTTGTGCATTACAATGGAATTGTAAATGGAGCTGAACTGGTGGGAATCAAAATTACTATCACATTAATCGCCAATAATCATAAAGTTAAAGAAATGTTTAAAATGTTTAATATACAGACTTTGACATCTGGTACTGAAATATCATCTTGGATTAATTTTGTGTTTGACACGCTTAGAAAATCTCTTTTTCAATTTTATTTTCCTTACCATAAACTGAGTTAATGTTCCTATGGTTCAATATATAATGCCATCCAGAGCATCTAAAATCTCATTGGATTAATGCCCTAGTTATAATATTTATAAAAAATAAATTGTCCTTTGCCCTGCTTCCAAAATATGTAACCAGAAACAAACATAACAAGAATACCTAGTGATACATAAGAAATTTTAACACCTCAAATAGGAAAGAAAGGGTTTTAATTTGTTTGTTGTATTAACAGAAAATGAAGGATGGAGAGGGCTTGAGCTTAGGCAGAAATCAACACTCTGGAGGCTGAGCAGATGAGTTACTCACAACTGCCTGTCAATTTGTAGAAAAAGTAAACAGTTGGAGGCCACCAATCAATTATCCAGTACAAGAAAGTAACTTCAAGTGCCTTCCAAGTACTGAAGAAGCAGAGAAACCGAACAGATTCATAGGGATGCATTTTCCAATCACAGAATGACAGGCACTGGTTTAGCTTCATGAGAGCATGATTTATTGTCCCAAGTTCCCAGGGCCCATCTGCCACCGTGTCTTAGTGTTGTTATTATCTAGCACTTCAGCAGAGCCCAAAGGATCCGTGCTACTTTTACCTAGGTCTGTTGGCAGATGAAAAATGCACAAGTGCGAATGGTTGGAAGAATTCACACTACATGGATGCACCTTAAGGCTATATTCTTAAGTGAAATAAATCAGACACACATGTGTAAATGCTGCATTGTTTTCTGATGTGAGGAACCTAAAGAGTAAATAAGGACCAAAATGTGTAATCAATATTGTGACACAGGGATAAAATATTCAAATGGGAAGGGAAACCAGGAAGGGGGTAAGGAACAAGGAAAAACTACAAGCAAAGCTCTTGTAAGTAAGGAGGGAAAGAGGGATTGAAGGGAGGGAAGGGAATGGGAAGAAAAGAACAAAGTTCAAATTCCCCATGATGATCATTACATGTAACTAAATTGTATCAATGAACTTAATTAATTTAAAAAAGATTCAACATAATTTAAAATAAACAAAATCATAAGAAATATCATCAAATAGCACATTAAAATCATATAAAAATAAAAATGGGTAAGAATAAATATGAATGATTTCTTAGTGGGGTTTCCTCCAACAAAGTAAAAACAACTTCATATTAGGAAATTGATTACAAAAGGAGAAAAAAAATCATTCGAAGAAATTAAAAAGCCATCCCAGACACAACTCTCGAAAAATTGGAATTAATGTTTATTCTCTTAACCTGAAAAAGATATACCTACTTCAAGCTCAAATTCTTAAAATTACTCACCAAGACAATCCTAGAGTGGCAGTGGGTAAACCAGCAACAAATTCATGCCTCTAACACTATTTGTAATATTCTCAGCAATATCAGTTAATTCAATGAAATATAAGAAAAAATTAAGGGTGTGACAATTGGAAAGAAAAAGGTAAATCTGGCTCTATTTGCATTTGATGTGTTATGAAGTATCAAAAAAGTTATTGGAAAGACTGCTACAAATAATTCAGGATTTAGTAAATCTACCTTAATGCACTATTAACAGAGAAATCAAGTCTTTGTTTAAATGAACCATAACTTAGAAGATGTAATTGAAAATAAAAACCTATCTAGATAGCAAAGAGATAACATGCAAAAACATAACAACAGTGAGAAAAAACTGGACTAAAGTCTTATAAAACACAGAAGCAGACTCAGTAGAATGGAAAGTCTGCCCATAACTTGGATGTGAAGAATTCTGCATGACACAGATAACAATAAGCAACTCCAAAGCAATGACAAGCTGGAAAAAGAAACTATAGCTCTCCTCATAGAGGCTAATATTCCCAACACTTACAGAATGCTCAAAATGGGAATTAAAAATGATTTAAAAAGAGTCTTAGATGCATACAGTTGTGCCCAATCTCACTCCCAAAAGGGAAATGCAAATTAAAATTATGCAGACTTACTATTTCCCACTTATCAGGTTAGTAAATATCTAGTCATGTTTGGGGTAAACGTGGAGGAAAAGAGGCAGTTGTGTGTATTGCTGGTCAGGACAGTGCGGGGAATGTGGGGATTAAAAATTTTAAATGACACCATCAGGAAGCAATCAGTCAAGCTCAATGCAGTGTATTCCAGGGGACAAAAGACTCATTTCTCCCAAGGGATCAATGACATAGAGAAATATTTCGCAGAATGAGTGGGCCTGAGATTTAACAGATTTAAAAAGGCTTTTAAAAGACTTACAATATAACAATCAAATACATTCCGTGAACCTTGAGTGCTAATTCAAATAAACTCATAAAATAATGATATTTGTGACAACTGGGATAAAACTAACATGGGGTGAGTATTAGCCTATACCAAGGAATTTTTGTGAATTGTTCTATATACAAGAATAGTCTTTAAGAAAAAACAAAGAAAATTTTACTGCTCTGCGATGCATAAAGAGCTGTTTCTTAACCTGATTTCTCAGAGTTGCTTCAAAATAAAACTGGCCAAATGTGGACCATTGTTAATGCTGGGATTCATTACTCCTACAACCCATTTTTATTTAAACTTTAAATTTCTGTGAAAAATAAAAACAAAATAAAACTCTGTGGTATAACTTAATAATGAATACAGGAATAATACATTGCCTGTGGCCTCTCTTCTTTAAGGATAGCGCCCAATGCAGAATGGGTAAAGGGAAGCAACAGAATTGACTATAACTGTAAACCTGGGTCATCTATGTAAATTCTCAAAATCCTTACTCAAATTGAAACACTTTCCTCTTGTAGTTGCCCAACTTGAGACACAACAGTAATAAGCGCCAGGCTCTGAATCAAATCAGTCATTTGTCAAACTCTAAAGTCCAAGTAGCTGCATCTTTGTACACCGGATGCTTCAAATGGTGCACTAGTCTAAGACAGCATCATCTATGTACTTTTAACTTCAGTGAAGGTTGGTGGTAAGATATCCTGTGACAGAAATATTCTCTATTTCCTTTTATGCAAAATTTTTGACTCCCACTGGTGTTAGTTGCATGCTACGCACATTCTTTTTCTTACAGTCTCAGAATTACTTTTCATCTCATACCACTTTTTTCTTTATTCTTTTGTATTTTCAAAGTGCCTCGGTTGATGATATCTCACTATCATCACACTCTAACTTTATCATAAAACACTTCCTCTGCACTCCATCAGTTCACAGATATTAATGTAAACCTCCAGTCCAGGTCATGTGCCAGGTCATGGGTTCAGCACTAGGTGATACCCTAAACCCTCCTCTGGACTCCATGAAGCCAACGCATAGACCACCTACTTGTTTTCCAGACATTCCAAGACCTCATAGAAGTGGTTAGCTGAATTACGTCAATTAGATTGGTTTGAGAGCCACCCAGGGGTCTGGAAAGCATATTTCTGGGTGTCTCTGTGTGGGTCGTAGAGGCATGAGTTTGGGCACCATGTGTGTCCCTGGCTCCTTTTGCCCTGGCACTGTCACCCCTGCTCTGCTTCTCGGTCACAATGCTTCACTATGCTCTTCCACCACCTTACTTTGGAGCCAGCCAACCACCGAATCCCCTGAAACTGTGAGATGAGAGTTGTGGGTGCCAGACATCATGTCTCAGTAAGACAAAAGCTGCTTTAAAAAGCCATTACCCCTGTAAACTTTATGTAATATATTTCTACCAATGGGAGTTTTACAAGATTTCATTATGAGTGCAATAAAATGATGTTTTATTTTACTGAAATTAATACGAAAATATTAAACTGATTAAAATGTTCAAAAATGTGCTCTGGTTATATTAACTGGAAAGACATGGGAACGCTTACCTTGACAATACCGCGGATGTGCATTTTTGCTATCATCTCCGCGGTGTAGAGAAACATCAGTAGAGTGTCCAGCGTGAAGGTCACGTACTGAAGAGGAGGGTAGTGCTCGAAGGTCATGGGTGTGTTCATGCACACGGAGATGACGCTGATGATGGCACAGATGCGCAGCAAGGAGTGGACCCACTGCAGGGACGGTCCAAAGAGATTATGAGGCACTGTAAATCTGGGACCTTAACTTTACCAAACACACTATTTGAACATCAATGCTCAGGCTAAATTACTACACCAGCGCAGAGGCAAGGAAGAAGGAAGCGAACAGCTGCTAAGTGCGTAGGAGGCACTACATATTTTCACCCACTGCTTAGTATCTGATTCTTAAAGTGGCTGATTTTCCATAGCACACACCGAGACTCAAAAAGGCTGAGAGACATTCCTGTGGTCATTGTTTATAAGATCCAAAAGCTAGATTTACTGCTCGTCAGTTACTCCTAAACCTCCGGTAACACCCAGGACATCAGATCCCATGATATGAAAAATTCAAAACCTATTAAATTATATGTTAGCAATTTATTCATACAAAAGTTGGTGTTGGGGCTGGTGATTTAGCTCAGCAGCATAAGCGCCTGCCTTGCAAGCAGGGAGTCGTAAGTTCAGTCCCTGGTACCGATAAAAAAGAAAAAGACAAAAAAAGAAAAGTTGGTGTTGCTCTTTTGCTCTTGTGTACTATAAGTGCCTAGAATTTGGGCTATAGTCTATTTATTATAACATCCCTAGTATCCAGGGAACTATCATAGATTACAAATGCTCTTAAACATCAATTGATATGTGACACTTCCCATCTATAGGCTTTGGTTTCTAATTGTGTCGTATATAATCTCCTTCTATGAAAACTATTTGCGAAAATCTGACTTCATCCTACATTTTCAAAGGACAATAAGTGAAATTTTGTCTTTACTTTGGAGAAACTATGTTTATTTATTTATTTATTTATTTTTTATTTTGGAGGTATCAGAAATCGAACCCATGACCTTACCTTGGCTAGGCAGTCATTTATGCTGCTGAGCTATATCCTGTTCCCAACAAACTGTTTTTAGCCCAGAATCACTTTTAAAAATTAAGTTTCTATGCAAATCTTATGGTACATACACAGTCTAAAGATTTTTCTTAATGCCAAAATAAGATGAAAGAAATCAAATAATAATATGTTTATGTGTGTATGTAACAGGGCATATATACACTCACATGTAACATTTTATTATAAAAATACTGCTCTAGATGAAAAATAATTCTATCTATATAAAAAGCTCACACAAGTAATATTACTAGTGAATTTAGTACACAATTCGTAGATATAACTTACATGCTATTTATTGAATATCTTCAATGTATATGTGGTCATTGATTTTATGCTCAATCCAAAAAGAAAGTGTTTAATTTGATAGATAGTTTCTGTAGGTATGCAAACTGGCAAGTCCTTAAGACAAAGAATAAAAAAGATTGCCAGAATTTTAAGGAGATTCAGACATGTACAGGCTAATGACTGGATTTTAATATTTGCCTGGCAGTTACGTTTGCATAAAAATATAGTACTTGTGATTCCACATCACATGAGGTACATAGAATTCAATTTATTTTAAGGGTTGGTGTACTTTTCATGCAATTGAGAAGTACTTCCATATTGGTGTTTTAATTTTGCCTCATTTGGACCTTCAACATGAAGGATCCAGTTACCAAAAAGAACTTTGAAAGATGAGTCCTGCCACAGCAAATGTGTTTTGAGTTTGAAGAAAGCATCGTAAGTATGAATGATATCAGTTGGTGCTTCTGAAGCTACATCTGTAACACCACCTTCTTCAGCATTCAGAAATTCCTCTACGGGGCAGACCCCAAGAAAAATTTAGCAAATGGTTTATTCTCCATTCTATTCAATTCTCTAAACATGAATGGAAGACTTATTAGGAGTGATGGAAAAATACAGTAAATGTTAAATTTTTTTAAAAAATATTTAAAATGAAAAAAGAATACCTTTAAACTGGCTTCAAAATACTCCCCTTGCTGTGAGCACACTTATCCCAACATTGTTTACTTTCTGAAACAGTTCTGGAGGTCCTCTTTCATGACTGTCTTTAGCTGCATAGTCCTGGCTGTCTTAGTGTCCTGAATGGGTGCAAAAATGTTTACCGTACATGGTCATTTTGGCTTTGGGGAAAGAGCTAGACCTCTCACAGTCACAGATCTCATCAACAAGGTGGATGAGAACACTGTAATTTTTTTTTTTTTTTTTTTACAACCCTGCCTTTCTGTTGGACGGCACTGAGCAGCAGCATCCACAGTATTCCATTTTGAAATCACACAGACAAGTGCAAAAGAGGGCTCCAGAACTGCTCCAGAAAGTGGCAAAAACGATGGGATAAGCGTGTCCAAAGAGAGGGGGAGTTTTGGGGGTTTTTTTTTTGTTTGTTTTTTTGTTTTGGGGGCATTAGTGACAATGTACCTTTTACTGTAATAATCTTTAAAATGTTAAGCATTAACCATAGTTTCTGATTGTACCTCATGGGTATACACAAATAGGATAAGAGGAAACAGAAGAGATTGGTTCTAAGCGCAGGTGGAGATGAGCAGGAGTTAAATCTTAGTCTGCCCTAAGGTAAGGGAGGAAGAGGAAGAGGAGGAGGAAGAGGATGTGATCCATCAGAGGAGTCAGGCCAGCCCAGCCTGTGCACCAACTGCGACACATTCTGTGCAGTGAAGGGACCCAGGGACGGTTCCACAAGTATAAAGCAGAAGTGAAATGAGAGCAGAAACTGTGATGGCAGAGAGAAACATGAGCTGTTTGGGGCAGTAACTTGGAGGGCAGACCAGAGAAAGACGCCAAGACGGCAGAAACCCCTCAGAGCATCTTTACTTCATGGCAGGGGGGTGGCTGTGGGGGTGGGAGAGCCCTGAGGGAAGCCACAGGTCAGTCTGTGTCCCTCCCAGCTTAGTAAGGAAGTTGGTCCTACTCTGCACTGCAGAGCTGAGCTCTGAGGCCCAGCAGCAGGCCATTCCTGCCTAGTACTGATGGCTGTGCTTCCTCACAAGCAGTGGTAGCTGGCAGGCAGCTCTTCCTCAGTGTCTGCACTGAGAAAGTAACCAAGCAGAAATACTATCCGCTATCTCCTAAGCCTTGACATAGACTCAAAGCTTTCAATTCAGAAGATGTCCTTTAATTCCAAATGTGTGCTCAGTGTCTCATACTCTCAGGTGTACTGAGGTTGGCAAAGAGAAAATTTTGGTTAAGAATATCTTGCTTTTAGCTGTATATATATAGCTCAGTGTACTCACTGAGGTTCAGTCCCCACTGCTGAATAAAACAGAATAATTTGCTCATCCTAGTTCAGTCTAGGAAGTGGATTTCTCTCTATATTTTGACTCTACAGACAGTGGTTCCAGAGTGGGAATGGGAGGGACCAGACCGACCACCTAGGGCATCTTCCTATGTAAGGTGCCACCCTAGTCTTTCCTTTGAATGATTCCCAACTTGCAGATGCTGAGATTCATTCATGTTTCCTTGTAGCTCAAACAGACAGTCCAAAGCCAAAGGTACATGAGGTTTGAATTTATGAATCAAATTTGCTTTATATCAGCACATGCTTCCCAGACATCAAGATGAAACTTACTGGCTTGTTAATCCAAAGAATGTCAGCATTGTCTGACAGAGATTCATCCGGACCGAAGTCAGTCACGGGCTGGGCTTCCACCCTGGAACTTTGCTTCCTTTTGAGCATGCTGAAGTTAGCGCTGGGGGACAGGGACAAAACTACAGTCTGGGGAAAGAAAGAGAGATTTTGTCATCACCTAATTAATCTTCATCCTCATCAAAAACATCAAGCACTCTAGATATGTTGATGCATTTGTAGGTCTTACAAGTTTGATTCTATGGTATACAATAAACCTATATAAAAATTGCAAATGGATGAGACAATGTTAATAAAAGCTCAATTCTTCTTTCTCCTAACCAAGTAGTTTGTCTTATGTACTTTATAAACAGTTTAGACATGAATTGTGCAGACTGGATGGGGTACAGTAGCTTGCTCTCATAGCATGCACATAATAGGGAATTTTTTGAGAAAGATGCCCATATACCTACAGCTGCATCCACCTCCAGGCAGAGTGTGCTAGAGAACTGCTGACCAATCTAGATGAAATACACAGAGCTTCTCCCAGGGTTTCCCCTCTATTAAATTAACACAACATTCACAGACAGCTCCTATTTCCAGCAATACTCCAAAGTCTATCTCCCAATTTTATACTTCCCAGAAAGGGTGGAGATCAGAAAGAATCAGAGTAGAATCTCCTCTAAAGGGAAATTACTGTTTAAATATTATGTGTGCAGTGATTATCTCAATTCCTTCCGTTACCCTAAGGTAAATTCTTTGTAAGGGAGATGAGAGAGTGGCTTGCTGGTGGTTTTTCACAATTCTGAGTCCTTTGTCTCCTGCTCTTTATGGCTACCACTGCCACTTCCCATAGATCAGCACCCATGGAAGATGGGGGGCCACTAAATGTCCACCCCTTGGGACACAAAAGGGAAATATATGCAATATAATGTAAGAGACAGGTCAAGGCAGGGAGTCCACAATGAGACTTCTTATTTGATTAGTATCAGGATTGCTTCTCAAAGAAAGGAGAATACCTAATATCTTTTCAATATATAATTAAGTTTGCGGTACTTAGTAGTGGTGTATTATTGAATCTTTACTATAGTCCTAACAGAGAAATCATCTTGTTTTTTTAATGCATGCATGAGAAATTCCAGCCTCAAGACTGATAACCGCTTGGCCAAGGCCATATAAGAAAACTGGACATTTAAAAGAAGATGCAGCTGATTACAAAGTATAAGGCACATGGAGATGACTGCGCTGGAGCTGAGGATTGTCAGGAGCATAGGAGAACTCTTCCAGCAGGCAGTATGCTGCTGTGCTAATGCCAAGGCAAAAAAAGCTGTCATTTTAACACCAGGAGGGGTCACCAGCTCTCCTGTCCAGGGGTCCCCAGGCTGCAGGAAGAAACCTGAGCAAAGACAACAAGTGCCACTCCATCTTTCCTGGGGCATAAGAAGAACACAAATGTGTGTGCAGCGTGGGTAAAAATACACACTCACAACTTCCACTGGGAAAAAGAATAAAACACAGCTACTCAGGACAGTATAACTTAGACTTTGATTCCACTGTGAGTCTCATTCCCAGGGATCGGTGAGTGTCTGCTTTCACCATGTGCAGCTCAAGCCATGTGAGCTGCACCCCAGCTTCGCTCTCCTATCCACAGAGGAAATCAACCTAATTGACTCTCAGATGTGGTAGGTATTTCCAAGGTTCTTATTGCCTGGAATGCTGAGTTTGGATATGCAGAGTTGCAGTAGGTTTCACTAATTAATTTTATTTTACATAATTGGAGTTAGGGACTCTTGACATCCCACGTAAATGAATGCAAAATATTCAAATGACGCTTGCTCTCTGATTTACTTTGGAGGAGGAAACATCTGGTGGCCTTGATTTGAGATGTCACTTAAATGACAATCTTCCACATATCCAAAGGCTGGTTGCAAAATCTCAGAAACCCTTCAAGATGGCAGAACACAAACAAGGGAATAAAAGAGGGATTTAAAAATGGAATGCAAAAGATAGAGCAGGAATCTCATTGACTTAGCCACAGTTCCTTTCCACTGAGCCAGGGATACTGAGGACCCTAGGAATTCCAGGCACTTCTCACTATCAAGATGCTATCCAAAGAAAAACTAATTCTTGATTGACCTATCTAAAGTAGTACATATGCAGAATTTATTTTTTCAAAAACTGGTAGCCATTTTAGCTACATTTAATCCATTAAAATGGCACGACCAGTTTGTTGTCACTCTGAGGCTCTTTTTATCTGCTGCCAGCCTGTCCCCTAATCAAACAGTACCCAAAGATTAAATTATCTAAACTCCAAAGAAACGGTGTCTCCTCCATAAGTACCTTACAACTCAAAGAGGAGCTCCTAAGTCCCTGAAATTTTGACTGGTTTAAAAATTAGATGAAAGCTGGGCGTGGTGGCACATGCTTATAATCCAGCATTTGGGCGGCTGAGCCAGGAGGCTTGCCACATATTCAAGGACGGCCTGGGTTACATAGTGAGTTCAAATCCAGTCTAACTACATTGTGAGACCCTGTCTCAAAAGAAATAAGTGATATAGTACAAAATATTCAGGTAGTAAATTTAAGTTACAAATGGGAAAAATCTAAAATTAATTTGAGGCCACTGATTTTAATAATTTACCTTCACACTTAGTAATGCTGTTTCCCATCATTGTTCATGTTGAATCAATATTTTGAGTATAGAAATTAACATTTTTTTGATAAAGACCAGGAGGGATATTTAAGTATCCTCGGTAATCTTGGTAATTTGATAGGAAATGGCTAGCTGATATCCCTGCCTTATCACCATTATGTATTTATAAACTTATATTTTTCCTGTTTCCAGAAATGTTTTCTATAGAGCAGTGTGTACTAAGACTGAAAAACAGGCTTTCAACAGCTTTTTCGCACTTACTAAAATAGTCTCCATTTAAATAGTTCAGTATTGGGAGACAGGCCGAGCAACTACAATATGCTCATTGACAAATCTTTTATTTGAAAACTGCCAACAGCAACACCAGGAGAGCACATACTTTGGTTCACTGCTTGCTTTTAAATGGTTATGATCTAATTTTTCTAATCTGGGATAACAGTTCAACTCCTATTGGCATAGCCTTTCCCTACTTCATTCTTGCCCTCTCTTGACTAAATTACAATGACAATTCTTTACCCGTGAGGCCCTTGCTGCCCAACGGTGTTTCTCTTGTTACCCTCTGAGGCTCTGTATGAAAGTCCTTGAGCTGTTCTTCTACATTATAGCGTCCAGCACGTCTTCTTCCCGTTTCCCTGTTGGCCTCTCTGCTCTATTGAACCTTTTAAATCATCAGCTGTTCTGATAGTTTCTAGTACCATCTGTTCGTTCCGGCTACCGTTGTTGAGTCACGTATCTGGGCTGCCTCTTCCCACGTGAATCCCACCATCACTTATTCAACCCAACAGACTGGTGTGAATTAGAACCTTCCTGCTTTCCTCTCTCCTCTCACGTCCTGGGTCCCACTGCCTGAACTTTTCTGATCCCTGCCTGCACCTGAATGCACAGTATGCAAGTCCCTCACATTTTCAACAGCGACTTTTCTTATTTCCTTGCTTCTTGCTTCTAGGTATGCACAATGATCTTTTGGTTTTTCCTCTAACATTGCAGGCTCCTTGCTAGGTTATAGGACTCTAGGTAGAAGCTGCTTTTTTTTTTTTTTTTTTTTTGTGGTCTTAATGATTGAATCAAGAGCCAAACACACATTAACACACAGGTTAACACATCTCTAGCACTGAGCTCCAGCCCCATCCCTTGGCCTGCTTTTTAACTAAGACCCTTTTGGTATAAAATTCACCTATCCATATCATCATTTCAATAGATGCAGAGAAAAATCACCAAAATCCAACACTCCTTCATGACAAAATCTCTCAACAAATTAGGTATAGAAAAAATGCACCTTAATACAAAAAAGACCATATATGAAAAGCTCACAGCCAACATCACATGCAGCAGAGACAGTTTCTGCTCTAAGCCTTGGAACAAGACAAGAATGCCTTTTCTCCACACTGATCAAAGTGCTGGAAGTCTTCACTGGAGAAATTAGGCAAGAAAGCAAATTAAAAGGGGAACCAAATTGGAAAGGAGAGCTCTAAATTGTTCCTGTTTGCAGATGACATGAAGTTCCTAAAATTTTCAAAGAACTAGCATAAGAATTCAGTAAAGTTACATGATTTAGAATCAATAGCAATAATTAACAGCATCTCTATGTACTGATAACAAAATTACTTTTTAAAAAAAATCCCAGTTACTCTAGCTACCAAATAATAAAATACCTATGAATAAGTTTAACCCATTTAAAGATCTATACAGTGAAAACCATAAAACATTGATAAAAGAAATAGAAGACAAAAGTAAATAGAAAGATTACTCAGGTTTATAAATTGATACAATTAGTATTTTAAAGCAATGAATTTTCTAATGGTCTGATATAGTTTATCGTGCAACTGAAAATCTCAGCTGATCTTGTTTCTCATTTGTTCCTTCATTCACACTGAAAATATTATGCATTCACTGTGGTATTAAGAATGTACTTGATGCATAGCAGAGAACATGAAAGGCATTCTCAAATCCTAAAAGTTGCCTTTATTTAATATCATGTTCCCAGGCAATGAAAATCACCGTTTTACTCCCATTTCTTCTCATATCCAGGCCTGTGTGCTCCACTCACATTTGCCAGATACACCTCTATTTTCCATCTTTTCTCAGCTACTTCAAATCCTTTATTCCACTGTGTTCTCTTTGTCTGCTCCTTAGCACACACAGTCATTCCTAATTCCCTAACTTAACTTATGAACAAATTTTGTCTGTGTGTGATTTGTTGATTATAACTGAAAAATTTAGTGTTGAAGAACAAAAGTATACATGAGAAATATCCCACTTCAGTAACCTCATAGTACCTATTTTATTTTAAAAGCTCTCGCAAGAAGAAACAAGTCATGGGTTTATTTTTAATCATTAGGTGTTCTTACAGTTATCAATCCATCATTATGAATAAGTTTCCTTTTGAGCATTTACGTGTACAAAGTTAGCTATTTTTATGAATTCAAGCAAAATTATTTATCTGCTATCCTATCCAACACACACACACACACACACACACACTCATACCACACACAAA